TGTTTGAAAAATGCAACACATGCTGTTGCCTGGCAGACCGAGAGGGCGGAGCCGCTAACAAATACACACACACTCAGGCTCACGACAGCATTGTGACATCATAATGTACCAGTTTACATCATAGCATACTTCTTAGCCAATAGCGGTGGCAGATTTAAATTAAAATACAGTGCAGAGTTTTTACCTGACAACGGCACAACACTGCCAGTTTTAGGCAGAATATTTAAATTTTAACTAAGATGCACTGAAGTGCCAAATTATTGACGACACGTGTCTGCAGCACAATTAGACACTCATTTATTTAGTTTATCAGCAAAAAAAATGTTTATTTGGGGGTGACTTGCTCTTTAAAGACCAGATGTTGAATAGATGGTGGAAGGTCAGCTGTACCTAAACTGACCATTGCTGGACGCAACAGACCCCCCTTTCCAAGGGCACGGGGTCCTGGCAGAAACCACGGGTCGTTGGAACTAGTCAGAGGCCCTTGGGACTCAGTTGAGGAAGCACAGGTTAGTTTCCAGGCAAAGGCCCCTGGAGTGAGGAAAGCAAACCCCACACCAGAGAATAGTCAATGTAGCTCCTTAAACAACAACAAAAAATAATCCACTTCTGAGAAACAAAAGTAAACCACTTATCAGAATCCCCAGGAATGTAAACAGATGACCAGAGGCCGGTCCAGGCCCCAGGCGAACCGCAGAGCTCCCGTAAGTACGGCAGGAACCACAGGACGTCCAGACCCACACGAACCGAACCCTCAGTCAGCAGGCAGCTACATCAGGCGATGGTGTAGAGAGACCCGCCCAGGAAGCGACGATAACAGGCGAACCCAGAGGAGAAGAAGAGCAGACACAGGGCATTTCGATGTAGACACACATGGATGGCGCCTGATGCAAAACAAACAAAAATAAACCTAGCACTACATGTGCCTACATGTTTTATGTGAAGCAATTATGTGAGCCCTGTATGTGCTATGTGAAGCAAATTATGTGAACGGAGTTCAGGTGATAGAAATGGATGTAGTAAACTACGTGTACTGAAAAATTGTTGCAAAAAGAACTAAATCAACATAACCCTATAATACAAGTAAGGGAAAATCAACGCTTGGAGCAAAATGTTATCAAAAAAGAAGGCAAAATAAACTGTAGCCCATAACTGGTAAAAATCTAAATAAAATTGATCATAATAGAAATGACAAAAGGAAATCAGCTGTAATGAAATAATGCAGAAATATATCTGTGATTATATGTTTAAAGAATCAGTAATACAGCTAATATAAAGAGGATAAAACACATTAATGTAAATCAGAGATATTAGTACTCAAACCTACATGTGAATATACACAGTAGAAATTAGAGATTAGTAAATAAAATGAAGTATATAAAAATTAATAAATGGACCCAAATTAGTCCTTCAGCGTACAAAAAAAAAATAAAATTTGTCAAAATCACTAGAAGTTGAAAAATACAAATTGCTTTTGGATCAAACATAACAGTTAGTGGATTTACTCACTTTTAACTGTCATGACCTAACAGAACCACAACAGTGTCATCCAAGTTCGTATGCTACATTTAGACATGAATTCTATCCACGCACACACATACACACAACAGAACTTGTGAGACCTGAAACAGGGAACCGAGGGAGAGTGGATGGAAAATTCACCCCCCTTTTGAGTCAATTTGATTTTGGTCAGCAGATCCATGGGTTGCAGCTTCGTCCAAATAGGCGGAACCCTTGTGTAATTTGATCTGATTTCTGTGGACCCACTTATAGATGGGATCTTTGTTCCATTCGGTGAACTTGATCTGATACACAATCGGAAAGAGTTTTTCAGTTATCCGGTATGGACCGGACCACTTCGGCACTTAGCCAGTTTGCCAGAGGTTGTTTTTGTTTGACGAGTATTTGGAGCAAAAATATAGAACCAGGCCTTATCACCCACGATGAGTTCAGAATGTGAGGTCTTCTGATCATAATAGGCCTTCCTGCCTTCAGCTGATCTCTCCAGATTTGTCTGTGCAAAAGAAAACGCTGCAGGCAGATGGTCCAAGTCTTGCAAATACTGCTCGTTGGTGTAAGCTGTATCTGCACTGGGTTGAAATGACTGATACAGCAAGTGAAGCGGCAGGGTCAATTGTCTACCCGTCATCATCTCAAACCGGGAGACGCCTGTAGACTCATGAGGAGTGGCCCTTATGGCCATAAGGACCAACGGAAGCTTCACATCCCAGTCTCTGTGATTAGAGGACACATATTTCTTCAACATGCCAAGAACTGTTCGGTTCATGCGTTCGACCTGGCCGGAAGACTGGGGCCAATAACCAATGTGGAAATTGGCCTTGACACCCAACATCCTCCAAAGGTGTTCCATCACCCCAGAGGTGAAGAGAGTTCCCCTATCCGAGTTAACACGTTCGGGGAGACCGAACCGGGAGAAGATGTGATTAATCAAGAGGACAGCAGTTGTCTGAGCCGTGTCGTTAGGTGCCGGCAAACACTCAACCCATTTGGTGAATGCACACGTCATGGTCAAGAAGTATTTGTTACCTCTGCTGGACTTGGTCATGGGCCCCACCCAATTGAATTGCAGGTCCGACCATGGAGTGGACGGCCCTCTGCTCTGAAGAGGAGCTCTGTGGATGGGGTTAGATGGTTGAAATTGGCAGCAAACCAAACAGCTCTGGATGTAGTCTGAGATGTCCTGATGCATCCCCGGCCAATAGCAACCTGGCTAAGGGCACTGAAAGGGGCCTTGACACCTTTGTGCCCAGATGAAGGAGAATCATGAGCTTGTACTATCATAGCCCCCCTTAGGGACTGTGGTGCCACAAGGATAGGTGACGACGGAGGCTTGGAGATGTGCATTAGCAAACCTTTAACCATCCTCAGCGTGACACGAACCCGAAAGAGAGCACGGAGCTCAGGAACGGAGCCAAGCTCGACAGAAGAAGGCAGATGAGCTGTCAGATAAGAAAGGTACAGGATCATCCTGCTGATTGCAGGGTCCCGGGCCTGGAGGCTGACAAGGTCGTTGTCAGAAAAGACTGGTTTAACAGACACGAAACCATCAGATGAGCAGGTCGGGAGTATATCACAGGGCTGTGCAGTCGCATTTATGTATTTGTAAGATGAAGTCTTCTGAAAAACAATGAAAACCTAGACATTTTATCAATCTATGAAATCTTCCCAGATGCCCCTAATAGCACATAAAAAGCAAAAATGTAATGGAAAAAGAGGTTTGGTCACCTTGCATAAAGTGCATGGTTGTTAACCGTTATTGCTGCTAGCTAACTGTTACCAGTAGATGAGAGAAACATTGCCCTCTTTTTTCTACTGCCAGCCTTGTACTTACATTTGCCGTTAATCCAACCAAACTTTGCCTACAATAGGCAAGATAGTGTTATAAAATTGTTTTATACGAGTGGTGTATAATTGTGGTCTTTGCATGTTTAGAGGTTTTTCTGTCAACACCATCAATCCATCCTTCCATCTTCTTTGCTTATCCGAGGTCGCGTCGCGAATATGTGACATAACGGATAATAAAATCATCATAAACTCATCGAGTAGAATCGCTTGGTGTCTTTAAGATCTGAAACAATGCATTTTAACAATAAACAGTTATTTTGATTCATTATTACTGTCAAGCAATCAAGTCTTATTAAACTTACTTTAGATAAAACATTCATTGGTCTATGGTTGTAATTAATCTGTAAAGTGGGAAAATCATTGTATAAAACAGAATATTAATCTTTTATTAAGGTTAAAAAGTCTCGTCTTCTCCAGGAGTCCTGCAGCACAGATAAGGAGCAGGAGAGGAACTTTGTTATGGCGGTTCCCCAGATGGCGAGGTCAAAAACAGAGCATTTGTTCTGGTTTGGAAAGCACAGTTTACCTTTAGCCCACTGATGAAGATGGCTGGGCAGTGTAATGACCTTTGGTATTACATGGCTTTCTTACACTACAGTGTGAATGGGTGAATGGCCTTGGGGGGGTTGGAGAACCCTAGAAGGCCCTATACAAATACAAGACATTTACCATTTTGAAACATTAAAATAATGCTCTTTGGTTCCCTTAGATCCGTTTCACTCCCACAGGTGTGGTCCTTGAGGTGTTTGAACCGCTCTTAGTCCGAGCTCTAAGCTGAGACCATGTTGCCATGGGAGACAGGGGCTGATGGCCCTGACAACACAGCTTACAGGATCATGAAGCTCCTCAAACCCTTCCACCACGATAAGGTGGCGATTCTGCGGAAGGGATTTTTTTCTCTTTAATTTTAGTTATTTTTAAAGTTTTTTATTATCTTTTTGTTTGTTTTCAAACCTGTTTATGTTTAATTTTCTTTTTTTGTTTATTTTGGTTTTAGTTTTAATGCTCATATCCATCTACATCCTCTACATCTGTGTTCCTATGAAAGGGTCGGTAATAAAGACGTGACATAAACACTAAACAATGCAACAAAAGTCAGATTTTTGTTTCTCAGCCCGTTGATGTCAGCTTCTGAACCCTAACCCTAGCCCCCACCCCGCTCCGCCGCCTTAACTTTAGGTTAAACTAGAAAATCCCTGAAGAACTGTTAAAAAGGAACCTGGCACACATTTTCTGTTGGAATTCCCCTTGCCCCACCCCTTTTGATGATGTCATCAAAGCAAATCATTAATTATTTGGCAGGCCAATTAAAGAGGCATTTTTACAATGTTGTGTGCTAATTACGTTGCCATAAATAAGTAAATAAATAAATAAACTAGAAATATCCTGAAGAAGACAGCCGGGCTCCCCTTAGCTCCCCTGTAATTCGAAACACCCGATTATAAGTAAAGGTCTAAATTATTAGCACATGTGTTTCTAGCGCAGTTTGGGCGGCGTTGAAGCACCCCTAGATTGAAACCTAGCTTCCCTTAAAGTGCATGAAGTTCAAATGATAACACATGGTTATAGTTGAGCTCTAACCCAAACCCCTGAGTATATGATTGGACTATTAATCTAAATTATAAGTAAATCTAAATTATAAGTAAGTCTAAATTATAAGGAAAATCTAAAGTAAGAGTCATAAAAGTTTTTCTGTCCTTTCTCGCAAAAAAAACCATCTTTGTCACATTGTTTGGGTTCAGTTACTCGCATTTCTCTCATTAAATGCTGTTGGTCCTTCAGATTCTTGAAACTCTTCTTTGCTTCTTCAAACTCTATTTCCTGTTCCAGAGCCTGCCTCATCAGCTCTAGGCTTTCTCTCTCGTCTTTCAGAGTCTGAAGGACTGAATTCATTTCATGAAGTGAATCTTGCTTTTCCTGCTGAAAGTGAATCATATCTTCACTCAGACTCTTCCTATCAAGAATCAGATCTTCTAATCACTTCTTCAAAACCATTTGTTGCTCATGTAAACTAAGTTTTTCTGTTGCAATCAGTTCAACAAACTGATTCTTTTCCTCCTGCAGACTCTGTTTCATCAGGTCAAAATTTTTGCTTTCATCCAGGAGAGTCTGATACATTTCCAGATCAAGCTGATTTGGTTCTTTCTCTTTTTCCTCAAATGCCTCTTGGAGATGACTGTATATTTCTGCATTCTCCTTTTCAGATTCTGTCTTCTGTGTTTCAAAGTGAATCATTTCCTTCTGAAACATTTTCCTATCAAGAATCAGATCTTCTAATCCCTTCTCCAGATCAATTTGTTTCTCATGCAAACTAAGATTTTCTGTTTTCATCAGTTCAACAAAGTGAATCTTTTCATCGTGCAGACTCTGTTTCATCAGCTCTAAATGTTCCCTTTCATCCTGGAGAGTCTGATAAACTTCCAGATAAAGCTGATTTGATTTTTTCTCTTTTTCCTCAAATTCTGCCATCTGTTGCATCAGACTTTCCTTCTCGACATGTAAAATGTCTAACCCCTCTTGGAGACGACTGTATATTTCTGCATTCTCCTTTTCAGATTCTGTCTTCTGTGTTTCAAAGTGAATCATTTCCTTCTGAAACATTTTCCTATCAAGAATCAGATCTTCTAATCCCTTCTCCAGATCTTTTTGTTTCTCATGTAAACTAAGTTTTTCTGTTGCAATCATTTTTTCCAACTCCAGTTTTTCTTCCTCCAGGCTGTGTTTCTTCATTTCTAAACTATCTCTCTCCTCCTGGAGACCCCGCTGGATGTCTCGTAACGTCTGATAAGACTCTTTCTCCATCTCCTCAAATGTATTCCTCTGATTTTCCAGACTTTCTAGTCCAGCGTCTAAATATATAAGCCCATGTTGGCGATAATTGTACATTTCACTTATCTCCTCTTCAGATTTAGTCTGGGGAAGTTCAAAACTCATCATTCGTTCCTGCAGAAATTCAGTCTGAGCAGAAGGACTTTCTACCTCGTCCTCCGCAGCTGTTTCTGTATTATTTATGTTGAAGGTTTCTTTTTGATTTGCTTCTTCAAACTCTGTTTCCTGTTCCAGAGCCTGCCTCATCAGCTCTAAGCTTTCTCTCTCGTCTTTCAGAGTCTGAAGGACTGAATTCATTTCATGAAGTGAATCTTCCTTTTCCTGCTGAAAGTGAATCATATCTTCACTCAGACTCTTCCTATCAAGAATCAGATCGTCTAATCCCTTCTTCAAAACCATTTGTTGCTCATGTAAACTAAGTTTTTCTGTTGCAATCAGTTCAACAAACTGATTCTTTTCCTCCTGCAGACTCTGTTTCATCAGGTCTAAATTTTTGCTTTCATCCAGGAGAGTCTGATACATTTCCAGATCAAGCTGATTTGGTTCTTTCTCTTTTTCCTCAAATGCCTCTTGGAGATGACTGTATATTTCTGCATTCTCCTTTTCAGATTCTGTCTTCTGTGTTTCAAAGTGAATCATTTCCTTCTGAAACATTTTCCGATCAAGAATCAGATCTTCTAATCCCTTCTCCAGATCAATTTGTTTCTCATGCAATCTAAGATTTTCTGTTTTCATCAGTTCAACAAAGTGCATCTTTTCATCCTGCAGACTCTGTTTCATCAGCTCTAAATGTTCCCTTTCATCCTGGAGAGTCTGATACATTTCCATAATAAGCTGATTGCATTCTTTCTCTTTTTCCTCAAATTCTGCCATCTGTTGCATCAGACTTTCCTTCTCGACATGTAAAATGTCTAACCCCTCTTGGAGACGACTGTATATTTCTGCATTCTGCTTTTCAGATTCTGTCTTCTGTGTTTCAAAAAGAATCATTTCCTTCTGAAATTTTTTCCTGTCGAGAATCAGGTCTTCTAATCCCTCCTGCAAATTGTTCTGACTGTTCTTTAGACGAAGTCTTTCTGCTTTTATCAGTTCAAGAAAGTGAATCTTTTCCTCTCGCAGCTCCTGATTCATCCGTTCTCTCTCTTTTTGCAGGAGTTCCTTATTATTCTGATCCAATTTGTCCTGAACTTCCACAGATTTGAGTTTCTGCCGCTCCAGGCTTTGTTTCTCAAAGTCTAACGATTTGTAGCCTTCCTTGAGAATGCTGTATATTTCTTCATGCTCCTTTTCTGTTTCAGCCTTTGCTTTGTCAAAGTTCAACTTGTCTTCCTGCAGGGCTTTTGTCTGGAGAATTACATCTTGAAAGCCTTTCTGTAAATTATTTTGACTTTCAGTTAACTTTAGCTTTTCTATTTGAAGCTTATTTTTAAAATCAATCTTCTCTTCCTCCAGAGTTTGCCAAATAAGTTGTAGATTTTCTTTCTCTTCTTGCAGAATCTGTCGAGCATTTTCATTCTCCAGCTTTGAGCTAGACTTATGCTGTTCGAACTCGTCTCTCTCAGCTTGCAAAGCTTGTCTCAGTTCTTCAAGTTTGTTTTCTGAAAATTTCTTTGATTCATCAAAATCGAATTTCTCTTTCTCCAGATCTCTTTTCATCTGGTTTATTTCTTCAATCGCATTTGCTTTGCTGTCTTGCAGCGATTTCCAAAGCTTTTCCGTTTTAGATTTTTTCGTAATCAAATCTTCTAGAAATTCCTGATTTGATGTTTTAACTTCTTCAATCTGCTTCCATTCTTTTTGAATTTCTGTCTTAGCTGTGTCCAAATCTTTGCTTTCCTGCTCAAGCCTCCGTTTCTTTTCTTCTAGACGTTGATTTTCGTCTTCCAAATCATCTTTCTCTCTCTGGAAAATGATTTTAAGCTCATCCTTGTAGTCGTTAATTTTTTTCAGAACTTTAACAAAATCCTGCTTATCATTGAAGAGAATCTGTTTTTCAGTTTCTACAGACCTTAATTCGTCCAGTAGATTCTTGCGACTCTCTTGTAAATCCATATGATTTAGGTTGATAGCTTCAGCGGTCATCTGTGCTAGTGGCTAGTTCCTGTCGCGGTGATAGACTGTTGGTTTCTGACCTGTTGAGTGATGTCATAAAGGCTTTGTCAGTCTGGACTGTACCTGTCACTACGCATGCGTGGTACCGGAAACCCGATCGGTACCACGCATGCGCGAAAGGCGTCTACTTCCGCTCGAAGCATTTTACGATAGTTACGGGTCAGAGAGTATCAATAAGTATCTATTAAAATGTATGCAATGTTGAAACATTTCAATATAATGTAGATAAAAAGAAAAAAAACAGAAAACGTCGGACCGTACAGATCGGGTCTACTTGATCCGTACCGCGCATGTGCAGATGTTCTGCTCTTCTTGTGATCCGTTCAATGGCAGTTTACTCCGCAGTGTACGAGGATACTGCCACTTGCTGACCGGGCGAATTAGCCCGATTGTAAACTGATTTTGCGTTGTTACAAATCGTGTTTTTATATGCGTGTTAAATTTGATTTAGTGTGTTTATGCTTGTATGTGTGGAGATGATTGATTGGAATTATCTTGATGTTCTGTTGATAATGTCCACTGTAAATTGTCAGTAAACACTGCTGATTAGTCTTAGGTAACCTATTACGTTTGTTTTTTTCTCCACTCAATAGGTTATATTTTCATTTAAAAGCTGAATATGTGTCATTGTGATATAGCAGATGTTCATAATTTGCACTACATGTCCTAAGAATGTTTTCCAATATGAAATGTAATAAATTCTTACACAAAGCCAATTTGGCTCATCACCTAAAATTTGTTTACTTTCTACTTTTGTGTTAGATTTCTTAGTTTGCCACTTTGTCTTGAAATAACTTAATTCTTTGTAATACCATAGTGATCATTTTCACAATGTTGCAAAATTAATGTTGTAAAATAGTTTCTCATGGTATTCATAGGTTAAACATTTGTTAAATACAGATTTAACTACACTCATGTTTATCTCCATATAAAATAACACAGGACCACTTTTATAATTCCCACAGGTTTACTGTAATAATGCGGAACACAAACAACAGATTACAAGAGCATGAACAACAGAAAAAGGATTGAGAGGATGGTTACAACCCAGATTATTTGAATAAGGAGACACATATTGATGGAAATAAAAAGCTTTTTATTTTCAGCATGTCCTTTCTGGCAGTGTGGCACTCTGAGTACCAGGTACAAGCCCAACAGATTCATTTTCTCAAACAGAGCGTTACAGTTTTTGCTAAAGTACTCCAAGAATGATCAAAAACTCTCACAAAGAAAAACAGGCATCAAAACACAAACCAAGATGTGGGAGAACCACTGATGGGGGTCACTACAACCAGGGTGGTGTGTGTGTTCTTGTACATACTACATACTGAGGACCATTTTGACCATTTTCCCTACAAAGTGAGGACATTTTTTGGTCCTCACTTTTTTTAGAAGCATACCAGAAGCTTCACAGATAGCAAACGGACTCCAGACTGGATCCATCCTGGAGGTACCGTAAGCTTTGGAACGGATCAGCAAAACGGACCCGTATCGGAGTCCACTTGCTCTCCGGAAAAGATCCGGAACAGAACGGATCCGGTGAGGAGTCTGTCCGGATCAACTCCTTTGGCACATCATCCAGTCAGGATCCGTTTTGGACCCGTGCATCACCAGATTCGCCTTTGTGTGCGCTTTCATAAAGAAAATAATCCAGCCTGTTTTTTTTTTTTATATAATAATTGGAATTCTTTAATGTTTAATTAGTAAATGAAAACATGCAGTAGCTGAGAAGTCTTTACAGAAAATAAAAGCTTTGGAGTAAATGATTTAAAATTATCTGTCACACCACACTTATCCTTTATGTTAAAGGAAATACACACCCAAACCATAAAAGTATTTTGATGAATATTTATTTGTAGTAATACAAACTGTATAAAAAAACTGTTACAAGTGCAAGCAAAGTATAACAATAGTAATGCAAACAGTATTAAAAAATTGTACCAGACTGTAATTTGTGTTAAAAAGATGAATGCTGGTCAGCGGGTTGAACTTCTTGTGTACCACTACGTCGCCTTGAGCAGTCTCAATCTGCTGCCAAGTTAAACCAGCGGATAGCATGTTTACATATGTCGTGGTCAGTGGAAGCGCAGGAGATGGGATTTTTTCTCACAGAATCTGCAATCACAAAAGCAGATTTAAATGTTAATCATCATCCACCACCACAATTTTCTATTGCAACAGGACAATCTCCACTAATATCATCTTTCTGTAAGCAGAAAATAATTTGTCAACTAAAGCTCTCAATACTATTTCTTCTTTTATTACACCAGCTTTAGAAGTAGCTATACAAGTTTATATTGACGCTGTGTAGCGTTTATAAGAAGTGAAACGCTGGAAACAATACCTCAGTGTGTGAATAGCAAAGGTATGAACTGGCTGGTAGCAAGAGTTGTCGTAGTGGAGCACATATTGTTGACCCAGAAAAATGTGTGAACATTTTAAAATGGGTACTTACGCAGGAGCAGTGTTTTTGATGACATCTGGTTGAAAGACTTCTTCCCATTGACACCTTTCCAATTAATCAGCTTTCCAACATCATCGTGGAAAATGTGTGCCAGGATGTTCCACGTTATGCGTTTGGTGTCATGGCCCCCAAAAGCTGCCAGCGAGGAAATCTAAAACGGAACAAACAAAAAATAATGAAATCATACATTAAAATAAAAAAACACTGTAAGCCCAGGGTGGATAACCCCAGTCGTCAGGTGACATCAACTTTACTCAACCGACCCTTTCACAGAGCATAGATTACATACAGTGCAAACAAACAAAACTCACCAACTTCTGCTTCAGCTGGGAATGTGCAGCATCTTTGAGCCAGTTCTCAAAAGGGTTCACTTCCTCCACTGAAGTTAATGGCAACTGGACCGGAATCTGCACCTCCATTTCCTGGGGAGTTGCATCCAGCTTGCTGGTTAAATAATTAACCTTGGCTTCTAGTTGCTCCATCTGTTTTTTTAGATGTTCCAGCAAGTCCAAAATCTGGGCTTCTGTGGCTGTTGGGAAGAATAATAGAAAATATACAAGAAATCAATTTTATCAGATTGGAAAACATTATGTAGCAGGTAGAGGTGTGAATCTTCACTTGTCTCCCGATTCGATTACGATTATTGGGTCAACGATTCAATTCGATTCGATATCCCGATGCATCACGATGCATCACGATTATTTCGTATTGATTTGTTTTCATCGTTAAATAGAAGATGTCAGATAATTGCTTTTTTTTAATCTAAAACGTAAGTGACACAACCTGCCATCCCTCAAAAGCTCTCCATTCACAACAGGTTAGGACTAAACATTTAAACATTTAAGAAGATTTAACAAAGTAAAACATCTGTTTCCTCGTTCAACACCACGCCTCAGGCTGAGAAAAACACGCTTTGCAAAAACTCACAAAATCTAAAAAAGTACTGAAAACCTACAGGACACATAACGTAACAATAAAGTACATAATGGGTTCATATATGAGTGTTTAATGTCTCTGAGCAGCTCTAGAATCATATATTTATGCCACAGTTGAAGGGTGTCAGAAATAACACCAAATGAAATGTTTGACTTAGTTTGTTATTTTATTTGAACCCAGTGGTTCATTTCTGAAATGCTGGAGAATGAATCAAGTTCAGTTTGATGCAGAAGATAATAAAACATAAAACAAATTATACACTCCAATAATATTTAAGATGTGTGTTTTATTCTTCCTGATAATAACACCAGCAGAAGGCTGTGGGCTGGATTAGGATTAAATTACCCAGCTGATGGATCTCCTTCACTAACCAGCTAACTACAAACCTTTCCACTAACCTGTCCTGTGGGACCCTCACCATGTAACCCTCATGTCCATGCTGTCTCTGGAGGAGCAGATAGGAGACAAGTCTCCTGTAACCTAAAATGTACCAAAGCTTCCTCCCAGTTTCTCTTTAAGCTGAATTTAACATCAGTTTATCATTGTGGAACTAAAGAATAAAGTGGAACAAGAACTTCTATTTCTCTCTCCAACTTCTCCGTGTCCCTAAATAAAAGAGACAGACGATCACGCTGCAGCCGCCGTCACTCACCCCGCCCCCTCCCCAAGACCGGATCTCCCTACATTACAACAAGCAGTCTGACTGAGCGCTTCCAGGAGAAATATTAATTAAATTATGAAAATAATAACGCGTGTTTGGAGCATCGGTTTGGAGGAGCGTCCTCCGATCCTCTCTCTTGTGTGAGCAGACAGTGTCTCTCTCGGTCGCTGATCGAGCGAGCGGAGCGCACAGCACGACAACCCGCTCAATTAACATAATTCACGGCCCAAATCCAACAGAACCGGTCGGGCTGATTCGGTTCCGGTTCGGTCTCAGGTTACAACTCCAGCGCTCAGCCCTGCAGTACCACATTAAGGCGGAGGTAAATGTGGAGGACGCTCACTCTGACAGATTTGGATGCAGCGTTGGTACTGCCGTTAAAAAAACAAAACTACATTCCACTATAATCGATTATGGCGTACTCTTCTACGATGCAGAATCGTTTATGTCCGCATCCCGATGCATCGATTATTTGATTATTTTCCTCAGCTCTAGTAGCAGATAAACTTTATATTTTATATCATAATTTTTTTTAAGTAATTAATTCAAACCAACAAAAAAAAAAATTACTCACCAGAGCAGGGAAGGGTGCCCGAGTCAAACCTTCTCCCTCGCCAGGCAGGTGTGTGCACCTGGCTTGCAGACAAGGTTTGTTGTTGGCATGGTGGTGGTTCAACAGCAGGAGATGGTGGTGGCAGGATAGCAGGAGCTGGTGGCTGTATAGATGTTTTGGATTGGCTTCTGGATTTCTTTCTTGGATGTTCGTCTTCACTATCATCAGAATCCCCCAAGAAATGACTATAAATTGGACAGGGAAATAACACTCAGTTGTCATGGTACTATCATTTCCATAATTTTTAAGTAGTTATTTAAGTCAATTTTTTATACTAGGTATTGTCTTCTCGGACATAGAAACTTGGATAAATGTTCCATACACGACATTTGCATGCATGTTTCATTTACAATTCACAGGAAAATACAGAAAGATGCTTACATCACCTTTGGCTTCCTCTTGGGTCGCACGTCCTCTTCCTCCTCTTCTGTCTGCAGGTCGGAAGTGTGGCATGACAGCGACTTATTTAGTTGTTGTCTTGCCTCGAAGTACTGATCTAAAATTTGGCAAAACACATTTTTCAGATAATTGAAAGATTGAAGTCATACTTATTATATAAAAAATATACATAATAAGTAGCTTACCACTTGATTTAAGAATTCAGACATCATATGTCTCCCAGTCA